TAGTGATAGAGGCTCAATTACAGTAGATGTTATTTTCCAGCACTCTGGATGTGTGTTTGTTTCTTCCAGTCTGCGCCCTCGCACTTCTTCCAGCTCCTCTCAGCCTGAGCGAGCTGTGAGCCCCCTAGTGGTGAGCAGCACACACAGCCTGGAGGCCATGCCTCGATTCGCCCTCTCCACAGACGACGAGGGTAAGCTGACTCTGAGAATCTGACACATTTTTAGAGGGGTTTTTTTCTCATCAATTTATTGCCCTTCACAAATTTTCAAAATGAACATTTTGTCACACCTGCCAATGGAGGGTAACTTGAGAACAGCCATTAAACTATATTTTGTTTAAAAAAAAAACACACATTTGTCAGTATGGAATTAATTGAGTTGTTTTTAATTATTTTATTATTAGACTCTAAAGGTGTTCTAAAGGTGTCTCCTAGCAATGTTCAAATTAAAGTTCACCTAAATATAATAACATTGTGCTACTAAGCTGGAGTAGTGCTTTGATGCAAACCTTTTAATTCTGCAGCTGAAGTTGTCGTATCCAACCTGCGACGAATCAGACTACGTAGCAACAGCACAGGAACGAAACACTCGTCGCCAAGGGAACAAGGGAGTCCTCAGTGCTTTGGAAACCAGCTGGAGACGCCTGACAGGCAGCGACTCTCACCAGGACGCAAAGTCCCCAAGTCTGCATCAGTGTCCACCCTCTCGCTCATCATCACGCCAGGTCAGACCCCAAACGTAGTCACCACTGCAACACTACAAAATGGTGCTCCTCATATTTACAGAGTGATCAGGGTTTGGTAGATTACTTGCAAATTGTAGTCTGTTACTGATTACAAATTACATGCTGAAAGTTGTAGTTAATAATGTAATCTATTAGATTACTCATTTTAGGTAAGGTAATCTGGATGTTTTCTGATTACTTTTAGATTACTTTTGTCCTAACTCATAACATGAGATTAATGTGCACCATAATGATATAAAAAATAAAAAACAAAGAGAAGAAAATATATTCTATTCTTTATCAACAAAATTAAGTGCATTAAACATTACATTATGCCAGGGTTTCCCAAACGGGTTAATGAAGGAACTGCAGGGGGTTTGTGAGTTGATATAGTAGAGATGCTACTTTTCCGGGGTTTTTTTACGTCAGGGATATAAAAAAAAGTTTATAAAAAATATTTATAAACATAGTGGGAAATATATATATATATATATA